ATAGCTTAATCAAGATTGATATCTAGCTAGCATTGAACCTCTTTGAGCTCGAGTTTCGCTTTAAAAGATAAATAAGGTCAAATTAAATTAAACTTGAGTCCGAATTGTTCATTAGTAACGCTTGATTTATTTGCAGTCCTTGCTCAATACGAAACCTTAATTGTTTAATTGAACAAATACTTTGTAAGAAGGATATTTAAATTATAAATAATGATAATTATAAAGTTTTTTTTTTTTTGAAAGAATGAGATGAATTATAAACTAAATGTTGAGTATTGGTTGCTTACTAATTAAAAAGAAATTAATTGCCAATTATCATGCATATGCTTAAATAAAAATTAATTGGCCTAAAAAAAATTAATATTAATTTTAATGCTTATGTCATATAGATGTTTTTAATTAAATAATTAATAAAATTAATGTTAATTTTTATTTTTTAATATAAAAAGAGTGCAATAACTGTACCTTTGATTTGTGCCTTAAAAAATATTTTAAACTTTATTTATCAGTATTATATTGAGTAATGCTGTAATTGTATATTTAGAAGTTTGCAAGAAATATTTTTGTGCAAAACCTTAACATTCCGTTAATCTGGATTTAACCCATTTGATAAACAACATCATTTCAATAAGTGGCATGGTGAGAAATTTTTTTTAGGGGGGGTTAAATGAATTTTTGAAAGAAAAAAAAAGACACCTATCTTGCATTAATTAGAAAGTCAATGAAAAGCGAACTTTTAATAAAAAAATTTTATTTTAAATTAAGATTTGTTAGTTTTTATCAATAATTAAACTAATATTAATTGATGGTATGGTACTATATATATGTCATTACTAAAAAATAAAATGAACGTATTTTAAATAAAAGAACATTAATAGACAAAAAAAAAGTAGAAGGGTATTAATGAACAAAAAAAGTATTAACAAACAACTATTTTATAAAAGAAAGATATTGAGTAACTTTATATTCAATTAATTTTTATTTTATCTTTATTTTCTTCATTTTTTTTCAAAATCACTAAAACTAAGCGTTCAAAAAACAAGGGTTAAAAAATTAATAAACTGTACGAAATAAATAAGGATTTAAATAATAAAAATATAACTTATAGGACCAAAATTTTCAACTTTTAAAATTTTAGGGGGCCGTGATTTACCTCAGACTCCTACCGTCTCCTCAAAGTGATTTCAGTCTCTCTAATGATGGGAATGAAATATATTTAAAAGATTAAATCTCAATTTGGTTCCTCAATCATTGTAAGGCTCCTGAATTGATTTCCAAATTAAAAAAATTATTGATTTGCTTTTTAAAATTTCTAAATTTAATTTTAAGTTTATCTTTTCCTTCAAAAATATTTAATATATTCTGTTAATAATGTGACACATGATCATTAAATAATATTCTTTTGCCATCAAGTAACAATATTTTGTCATCAAGTAATGGACAATCAGACACATTAACTATTTTTTAACAGAAAAACCAACATGGAGTTAAATTTAAAAAGTTTAAAGATTAAATCAAGAATTTATTTAGTTTAAGAATCAACTTAAAAGTCCGTATAATAGTTGAGGGGTAATTAGGGTTTATCCTATTTAAAAAGAAGAAAAAAAAAAAAAAAGCCAAACGCAACGTTTCAGTTGCCGGGAAAGCTGAAAATACTAACATAACGTTCCTACCCAGAAAATCTAAACCCTCACTAGGGTTTTCAGGTAGAAAAATCCGAGCGAATTCGAAGTTATTATTGGCGCAAAAATGGAGGATGCTCTAGACCCAGCCACTGAAGTTCCGTTCTCCTTCCCTCCGCGTCGGAGACCGCATCTTAAGAGCCAGACTTACCTCAATCTGGTTCAAATTGTATCCCTTTGCTATGGCCAATCCCCTCTTGCCTCTGCCCCTCCAATTATTCCTCTCGACCTAATTTCAGGTAGCAATCAGAATTAAAGATGAATCTTTTTGTTTGAGATTTCTGTGTTTTCTTCTTGTTTGTTGATGTTTTTTTGTTTTCTTAAAGAAAAAGGTAAAAGGGAAGATAGCCAATCAACTGGGAAGGAAATAGAGACCGGGGATGTAGCCTGTTTTAATAACGCAGAGCCTGGTGAGTTGGTTGTTTCTGATAGTGGGCAGACTGAGAATTTGCAGAAAGAAATAGTGTTTGATGAGAATCTTCAAATTACTGGTATTTCAAATAGAGGGTCCAGTAATACACAAATGGCTATAGAAGAGATAGAAAAGATAATGGAAATGGAAGAGAATAGGGGCCTTTTGAATCAAAATGACATGGCGGTTCCTGAGAGCGCCGGAGGGACTGGATTGCAAGGTGAAGATTTGGGTTTGGAACAAATGTTAATGAATGAGCTAGAACATATTATGAAAGGGAATGAAGAACGTGGTCAAGGTGATGGCATTTATCTATCTGCTGTGTCAGTGGATGAGAACGAGAGTGGTGACGGTGTTGCTGCTTTGATGAATGACCAACAACAAGAAGGAAACATTAATCATCAAGAAATTATCATGGAGGAATCCGGGCCAACAGGTTTAGGGGAAGTAGGCCAAGAAGACCTTTTTCAACCAAGGCCAGAATCCACTGATTTGTCTTCTGACAGAGTTTTTTCTGTTGTAGTTACAAAATCAGAGGTGGATGAAGATAAAAGTCCCTTGGCAAAAACCATTGAAGATAAAGAAGGGCATGAAATACAGCCAAAAGAAACGGAGTGTGAGAAATCATTTTATTCCCATGGCATAGTGACAGCTCCTAGTCACATGGTTGAAGATGGAGAAATTGAAGAGGGAGAAATTTCTGGTGAGGATGGAAATGAATTGCTAACTGAGGATGCTGTAGTATCAGGGCAGAAGAATCTAGATGAGAATCAAGTTCATGTAGGCATAGTTAATAATAAATTACTTTTTGACAAACAAAACAGATCTAATGTACTAGATTCTGCTCCCACTTTGTTCACTATGAATGCTGTTGATAATGAGAAAAGGGGTAGAGAAGTAGAACAGGAAGAAGGTGTTCAAAATCAGATGGTATGTGAACCCAAAGAAGTATACAGGAAGGGCAATGGAACCAAGCATGGTAGTGGTTCTCTAGTGGCATGGCCAAATACTTTGACATTGCACAAAGAAGTCTTGAGGCAAGGTGGTGATAAGGAAGCAATTACATCTCAGGAGAAGGTATTATCCTGATTGGTAATTTTTTATTATGGTAAAACTCCTCGATGTTAGAGACTGACATTCATGTCACTGTTTCCCCATGACAACAGGATACTGGTGCATCCAAAAGGAAAAAGCGGTCTTGTACTAAGGAAAGGAAGGAGCGAAAAAAGGTTTGTGTACTTTGTACTTTTGGATTTCTAACTATATGGTCAATTTAATGCTCTTGGAGCATGGTAATTTCAAATTTTTAGATATCCAGATTTTTGAATGGTTGACTTACATGTTTGCATACCAAAACAATTTTTACTGGGCGTGTATTCTAGACCAGATACTTCTCAGCTTCAATTATCTAACTATTTATCTCCTTACCATTCTATTCTGCAGAGAAGAGATCGAAAGAAACGGGCAGAAAATAACCAAAAGCTTGGTGTCAAAAGGTTGAAACTAGAGCCTGTTTTGAAACCAAAAACCATAAGAGTTTGCCGGCATTATCTCGTGGGAAAATGCCATGAGGTTGTATGATTTTTTACTTTCTAGTGTTTCTGTTTGATTTTTAGTGTCTTTGGACTTTCTGTTCATGTTAGTCCCAAGGGAAAGACATCTGTTATGTGATCATAGAAAAGCATAACGGTTCCTTGCTTCGCATATGTTGGGAGTGGTTGTCTCAATTTTATGCAGTCAGTTGCTTTATTATATAGATCCTTGAACCATGATGTATTCCACTAGGGTGACACTGTCATATAATGTTGACATGGTATACCCCCTTATAATGCCCATGAGTTTTTGGTTTATCGACTCCCTTGTGCACATTGAAGGAGTTGAATGAAAGAGTAGTGCAACTGAGTAAGTGATTGGGTGTCCCACAAAAAGTTTTGGTTCTGACTGGACCCTTGCACTTTCTCTGGTATCTTGAAATTGAAGGGAAGGAAAATTAGTAGATGATAGAATGAGGCCAGGGAGGGAGAAGGATGGGAAAGGAAAATATATGTTTCTATTTCTTTACACTTTCTTACCCAAATAGATCTCATTAATTTTGTTGTCAAAGGATTTTGTATTCGTATATTATCCATCTAACACTTTTCATTTTGGCAGGGTGAGAACTGCAAATTTTCACACGATGCAGAGCCTCTAACAAAATCAACGGTATTGTTAATTTTGCTTGCTGATCTTTTATTCAGTAATGCCAGTAAATATATTCCATTTAGCTCTTTTTATGGTCATCTATGATCACCATTAGCATGGCTTTAGCTGTTATTTGCTGAAATCTTCTTATGAGGAAGTTATTTATTGGTTATTGACTTGTTGCTACTTCCCTAGTATTTTTGGCAATTCCATCCTCAGTGCATCTGTCCAACACTTTTTTGATCTAGAATCTGCAATGATGATGAATAGTTAGGGATATCCAGTAGGACTGTCTGATTATTTAGGTTATCATCTAGAGTAGACTCTGCAAAGGCAGGCCTTTTCTTAATCCTTTTGGAAAGGGCTGGCTTTGTGAATTTATTAAACTCTCTTGCTCTTGCATTTTGTTCCTGCAGCCATGTAGTTTTTTTATAGTTGACAACTGTATGAAAGGGGCTGATTGTCCATATGATCACCAACTCTCCAAGTACCCTTGTCACAATTTTGTGTCCAAAGGTTTTTGCCCCAGAGGTGATAGTTGCTTGTTTTCACACAAGGTAACGTCATTACCATTCTCAGATGCTACCTCTTTTGAAATGCTATCCACTAAAAAGTTTATCTAGGTGTTCTCAGTTTCTAACTCTGATTAACTTTTGTCATTTTTAGATATCAGCCCCAGAAGATTCTCCATCTTCTTCAAATGCTATTGGAACTGAACTGAAGACATTGTTACCCAGTAATTCAAAATTTGAAAAGCAATTGAGTATTGGTGGAACTAAGATTCAGAGAGTTGAATCTTCATCCCCTTCAGTGGTGGTTTCTACTCATAAGAACATGAAACAGAATGTAGCCAAGATTCTTCCTGTGCCTCCTTCAGTCACACCAAAAGGTGTTAGTTGCTTCTCTGTTGCAAAGTCACCTGTACCTGAATCAAGTATACTAAAGCAAGGCAGCTTACTTCCAAAGTGGAATGAGACTGGCAAAGTGGAGAATCAGACTAATAAATGTGCAACAGACACAGTCCAAACTGTGAATGAGAGTCCAAAAATAACACCATCAGTGGTGCCAAGGGGAATAAATTTTCTTTCGTTTGGAAAAGCAATATCCAGAGATTCCAGTGGCAAAAATGAAGCTGCTTTGTCCTTCGGTGCTGGCAATGAACATAAAGAATCTCCCAACGAGGGTGGTAGAGCCAGAACTGGGAAGCAGACAACCCAAAATGCATCAAGCAAAGAGAGAGAGGTAAATCAGATGCTTAAGATGACTCAACCTGCTCTTGTACCCACAGGAATAAACTTTCTCTCTTCGGGAAAAGCTCTAATGGATGACCAAAGAAAACATAGAGAAGCTAGTTTGCCTTCCAGCTCCCAACGTGACAAGGGTGAATCTAGTCAAGAGATTCAACATGCATCCATTAAACAAAGCAACTTAAGTGCATTATCATGGAATTGGCCTGCTTCTCCTCTTGCTCCAGTCCAATCTCCAAACTCAGTTCACAAAAAGACACCAAACTCAGTTCAGAAGGCAGTTGTGTCAACTCTAGCATTTGCAGAAAAGTTTGACTCTGAAAGGAAGACAAAGCAATCTACCAGTAGTTCCTGTTCTGTAGGAACCAAGGTTAATGGGGAAACAGTGGGTGCCACTGTACCTGGATGTTTGCAGAATGATTCAATGGATGATTCAAAATTTTTGGACCTTTTGTCCAGTTTCAGCAGCAAAAGAAAGCCGTAGATTTGCTTGCCAAATTCCAACTTATTATGGTTGATGTAACTTGAGGAGTTTAAAAGGGGAGAAAAGGGTATCTTGCTGATAGTTCTGAGGTTGAAAAGAGTTGGTTTTGTCAAATCAAAGAGAAAGTACTGGGTGGTGGCTATATTCACCATCCTATAGTCATTGATTTGCTTGTTTTTGTGGATCAGTTATTCAATCTTGATCTGCAGATCTCAGGAGAGGACTAAGTTGTTTCCAACTGGGGTGAAGCCCTTCCTCTCTAAGTTGGGGACTCATCTCAGGTGGTAGCTGCAGCCGTGATCCACCCCTCATCAAGGCATGTACTCCCTGAATTTTATCATTACTCTCTTTTACAGGGAGAGCTGATTCCGAGAGTTTGAAAAGGTGTTTCAGTCCACCAACTAAGATAGTTTAATAACTTATCTAGGTCATACCAATCTGTATTCATTGATTTACTTGGTTTTGCACAACCGGGTGCGGTATTCAATGCTTCCAGTTTCCTGCAGAGTCTTAGTTAACACTTGACACAGAAAAATGCTAACTAGTTTATAAATGATTTCTATCATATGTATAGGCCAATACCATTGCTGCAACATTACATGTTGATGGAGGTGAATGCGGATTTTCCCTTAAATGTCATGTGTTTATCTTCCAACCTCATGTTCTAAAATCATTTTAATGGTAGCCTCGTGAGGCTGGCCACTTCAGCTTTTACTAATGCGTGTGTTTTACGGTGTTTCAATACCGCTAAAACCCTTTTTCGATTTCTGCTTACGAAAATCGATTATTGATGGTTTCGATTTTACAGTCTGAAACGCTGGCACTTCATAGCCGCTTTCTAAACAGGCACATATCCACTGTACACTCGTCGGACTCACACTATCAAAGCCTTTGCTCCCCACACTTGGACGTGGTCGGCTCGCAACACGTGACATGGATAAATTGGACACAACAACCGCATGATGTCTACCGTGCAACAGCCGCACGGTGACATCGGACGGCTGGAAATCACATTTATCCTGGGTAGGGATGGGACTGCTCGTATTCTGCATTGAATTTGAAAGCAGAAATTCTGATTCCCCACTTGGACAACAACGATTACCGCTTCCTTTGTATGTTGCACATGGCGTGCATCCAACGGGTGGGATTACTACAAAAAGCGATATACCCGAGGGTGTGTGAAGCCCGCATTCGTGACACTTGTAAGGTGGATGTAGCGGCAACCTTCTGCGGCTTTGCCCCACGCAAAAGTGTGGGGATTGTGGTTATCCCCAACACAGCAGTGCTTCGCCGTACACTTTTTTAAATATTTTTTAAAATATTAATTTAATTTAATTTAATAATTAAAAATAATTAATATTATTTGTTAACCTAATTAAAATTAATTAATAAATAAAAATATCTATATACCATAATTAGTTATTTAAGAAAAAAATATAACAATACTGTAAATGGTTAATGTTTATTTGAATTAACTCTTAAAAGAATAAAAGAAAAGTTATTCTAAAATTATATTATTTTAATAAAATACCATGAAAAATAATTAAAAACATTTTAATTTATATTTTAAAAATAAGATTTTTTAGGTTTTTAAATAAGATTTTATTGAAATGATGTAATTTAAGATAATTTTCTTCATAATCTTTAAGAGATAAGTAAATATGTAATATTTATGTACTATAATTACAATAACATATAAGATAATAAATTTACAATTATGACATAACTTATACAAATAAATATATATAATATCACAAATAAATTTTTAAAATAAAAAAATTAATTATATAATAATATACCATATTATAAATTTATAATACTAGTGTTATTATAAATATGATATTTTAAAAAAATATATATTCACGTGGTAATAACAAGTTAACAACTCCTTGTGTGGAAATAACCACGCTTGGGATGGGGTGGTCCTGTAAAAAGGAACAATGATGGGGGATCAAACAGAAGTTTCTAGAAAATAGAGGGATCTCAAAGGAATAAGATGAGGGGTCAAATCAACGTTTCTAGAAAATAATGGGTCTTGGTTACGTGGGGACAGGAGACATCAGCCACCAATGGCAAAAGTTTGAAAAGCGAAAGAAAACGTGGCGATGCCTGGCCATTTCCTTATATAGTCATGGCAATGGCGGTAGCGGAGAAACAGAGTGATTCTCACTCCTCTCTCTGCTATTGTTTTCCCCTCTATTGTTCTTATCCATTGCAGAAATAAAGAAAATGGTGGCACCTGAAGGTGTTGGCGGTGGAGATGGGTTTTGTTTGGGGTACGCGGCGTCTTTGCGGTCAAAAGAAGTTGAAGGGTCAGGGATGAAGATGGAAGCAGGAAATGAGAAGCAGAAACTTGGGGAAGCGGTTAGGGTTCAGGAAGAGGAAACGAGGGCTGCTCCCGACAACACTGCCGACGCTTGCGGTGGGTTGCCTTTTTCATATATGGAGACGGTGTTAATAGAGGTGAAAGAAGAGGAGGAGGAAGTGGTGGTGGTGGGTGATGATGTGATGGTCTATGTTGGTGGTGTTCTCAGTGGTATGAAGGGTAACAACAACAATGGGTCGTCTTCTTCGAGTTCGTCGGAGGTTTTGCCCAAACCTATGGAGGGGTTACACGAGTCGGGTCCGCCACCGTTTTTGAAGAAGACGTTTGAGATGGTGGAGGATCCGGAAACTGACTCGATTGTTTCGTGGAGTGTGAGCCGAAACAGCTTCATCGTTTGGGATCAACATACGTTGTCTGAGAATTTGCTGCCCAAATACTTCAAGCACAAGAACTTTTCCAGTTTCGTGCGCCAATTGAACACCTATGTGAGCCTTTCTCTTCCTCTCTGCAGATTTTATGAGCTTGTTTCTGTTGTGTTTATTTCGTTTCCTCTCTGTATCCAGTCTAGCTTTTTAGTGTTCTCTATGTGTTTGCTTAATTGCCGGACAGAGCTTATTATAATCTCCGTTTTTTCTATCCGTTGTAGCTTCCTTCTATTAGTGTTCTTATTTCGGGGTTTTGGATTTTGTTTTCATTTGGTGCTGTGTTAATATGGTTTCAGGGTTTCAGAAAGATCGATCCTGATAGATGGGAATTTGCAAATGAAGGGTTTCAAGAGGGCAAGAAGCATTTGCTCAAGAATATTAAGAGGAGAAGCCGATATTACAGGCAGCAGCAAGGAGCAGGGAATTGTGCTGATTTGACTAGTAATGGTTTAGAAGTCGAGGTTGAGCTTCTCAAGAAAGATCAGACTACATTGCGGCTGGAAATCTTGAAACTGAGACAACAACAGGAGGAGTCACAGTATCAACTGAGTGCATTTGAAGAGCGCATTCGATGTGCAGAATGCAGGCAGCAGCAAATGTTCAGCTTCTTAGGCAAAATAGCTAAATACCCTAACTTGGTTCAACAGTTGATCCAGAGGAGAAAGCAACAGAGAGAGCTTGATGGGTCTGAATTCAGCAAGAAGCGCAAATTCCTTGAGAACCAAGTGATAAAAACCTTGCCTGATGCCATGGATGTAGACAAAGTACATGTCAATTGCAGAAACCAGATTCGGAACCAGTTAGAGTCAATGCAACCTGAACTCACAAAATTCTCACCTGATGGAATGGAAGAGGAAGCTGGCCTTATGGAGAAAGTGTATTCAGCTCCCATTGATGATGAATTATGCAGTTTTGTTCCAGAACCAAAGTACACCATGATGAGTGGAACAAAAGCACCGGACATGTCTTCTGTTTTTCCTGTGATGTCAAAGAACCTAATGGGGGAAATTTCAGGTCCAGAGAACAAGACTAATGAAGAGCCAGCAGTGAATGACTCAAAAATTTATCTTGAGTTGGAGGATTTGATAGGGAAGACACGTAACTGGGGTAAACATGTAAAGGAGCAGGTGGAGCAAAGTGGTTGTGTCTGATCAGTTCCTTGACTGCATTGGTATGGTTTATTTACTCTTTGTAATTCTTATGGTTCTTGTTCCTAGTATGTCTTCACATGGTTGCATATTACTGGTTTCAGATGAGTGTATGTATGGTGGGTGGATGCTTGGTCTTAGTTCTTCATTCCTGATCAGGTGGCAGCAAGAACTTGACAGAAGTATACTACCAGATATGTGAGATCTTTCTCTGGAGGGAGACATGCCTGATCTTAGCTACAAATGTCCAAAAATTTCCCACTTTTTTGCTCGTTTTCTTTAGTTATAATGTTATCATCCTGAGGATTGTAAAAAATCTTACATTATCAAACCACCATATATGATATAGCATACTGCTATCACAGCCTGTTCCTTTTCAAATGAATATATAACAATTATGTTGAATCATGAATCCATGTTGACAATTGCTGGCTCTGTGAAATTTCTTCTGTGGCCTTCATTACCCTGTCTTTTCTTCTGTGCCAAAATTAGCTAGTGCTTGATTTAATAAGGATAGTGATTGACATATATTTTAATTTAATACTTTACGTAATATATTTATTAAAAAATTATTATTTAATTTCAAATTAAAAGTAAATAAATTTAAAAATATAATATAATATATATAAAAGGTAAGAATTAATTAAATTTATTATATTATATTTTAATAATTAAATTAAAACAAGTATGAAAAAATATATTCCAGTGAATGCATATTAATTTCTTTTTATTTAATAATTCATGATTAGTAATCACTTTGCTATCTGTTTCCTCACACCTGACATAAGAAGAGTGGATAAGCTGCTTTTGTGTCCATAGCAAATTGTCAAAAATAAAATAGTAGTACTAACAATTTTTGTAATTAAATCAATCTTCATTGAAAGGTTGAAAACAAACAGCTTTGATTATCAGAAGAAACAAAGAAAGAAAAAAAAAACAAGGCCTCCCTGTTGTCTGGACTCAATGTGGGCACGACTTTGATGAATACAAATGATGCTGCTTTTGGAAAGGTTGAGTAGTTTTTGGATGCAATGAATGGGTGATGTATTGTTGCCAAAACAAGACCAGGTTGATGGACATTTTTAAGCATATGATTTCTCTGGATTAGTGATAAGGATAAACTCTATCTAGACTCTCTCCCCTTTTTGAAGTGACAATTACTTTTTTTACTAATTTTTTGCCCAAGGAAGTGGGCAAAGGGTGGGGAAACAGGTAGGTGAAGCTTGGACGCATCCTCCACCCTACCCAGGGAACTCTACCAAGGGCCATGATGGAACTGCCACTGCACCTGTAACGCGGAGTTCACTATCTATATTCTATTAGCTGGGAGCCTCGGAGTCGACCATGGTTATTGTTACATACATTTTTATTATAATTATATAATATTAACTTATATTTCATCAGTTTATAAGTTTTTTTACATAATTAATTATAATATTTAAAAATATTTATTTTTTAAAATTATAAATATCAAATATTTTATAAGTTATTACTTGTTTTTAATAATATAATTGATGAATTTCAATTAAAATTGTGTGAAGAAAAAAATAAAAAATAAAAAAGACAGAAAGAGAAAAAGAGGAGAAACTAACAAACAACCTTGGGGATAATGATTCTTGAGCTGTATGTGGGCTTTCTTGCCACATCTCTGCGGAAAAGTGCTGTGAATAACAGTCTCAATTACAGTGTCAAAGTCTGAATAGCAGCAGGTCACAGTGTTTCCGCCTCAAATTTGCCCGGTTGCTATTGGGCATTAGCATCAATATCCCTCTCAAAAACGTCCCAAACACAGTGCAAGCAGGAAGTTGACCAAAATGGTTACAGAATTTGTTTCCAATCCTTGACATAAAAATAACTTTTTGTAGTGACTTAAACGTAAAATATAGCAATCAATGTGGACAGAAAACACATAATGTTAAAAGTTAAAATTCTATAAAAATCTCACAGAATCATGTTTGAGTCCTATACCTGTGGTTAATTTTTCATGAACAAGAGTAAGAACAATCTGAATTCTGAACTATAGAAGTTTGTTGATGTTAATCTTTTTTACTACGCCAAGGAAAGCATACTTCTTCCAACCCAATTCCGAGGCAGTGTCTGAATCCCTCGTCTTTCTCCAGGGAGGAAACATAATCCCTTCATTCCTTTTTGCTAGGATGAATTGTTTCGAGTATGGCTTCAACTTCTTCTTTGGCTCGTTCAAGAACATTTGGTGCTTTAACTTCATTGAGTGGGGTGCTCGCGTCAATGTCATTGCTCATTCCATGAGTTTCTTTGTGATGATGAGGAGGAGGTGACTTCTCGGAGTGGAATATTGCTTCAAACTGTTCCTTTGCTCTTTCAATTAGATTAGGTTCCTTCGCATCTTTTTCTGCAGGAAAGTGCAAAACAACATGAAGAAACCATAGGATCATCATTTAAACACTTCAAAGAAAGCAATCACACTGTGATGTAGCACATCATAGTGTTTGATAATATTGAGGGATGAAGGAATAGAAAATATATTCTGATGAACTTCGTGGACACAAAACAACTGCAATGTGTGCATGCAGTATGATTTCATGGTAGTGGAATAAAGCTTTACTGCAAATGCAACAAAGAATCCCCTAAGTAAAATTTACCATAACACTAACTAATAGCTATCCTAAATTTTGAATTCAAGACACGCTAAGAATGAAACTAAAAAATTAGAAGTGAACCTGACTTCTCATGATTCAATTCTGCCTTTGTAGATTGGTCCCTGGAAAAACAGAATCATGTGAACATAAGAAAATGCCATAATTCTCATACTACATTCAGAGCAAAGGTAATGTATTTGAACCTTTTGTCATGAGTTTGTGACTCTTCCTTCTCATGGATTGCTTCAACGAGAGCCTCAATCTCCTCCTTTGCTCGTTCAAACACATTAGGTGCCTTGACCTCACCTAAGGGGGTGTTTTCATCAATGTCTACTCGCATTCCATGAGTTTCCTTATGGTGATTGTGATGCGTTTTCACGGTCTGCAGCACTGCTTCAACCTCTTCCTCTGCTCTTTCAAAAATATTAGGTTCTTTGGCCCCTCCATCTACAAGAATCATTAAAAACACAGAGAAACCCAAAAATATTTGAGAGAAGCAAATTTTTCTGATGTCACATGCCACTATGTCAGACTTTTCATTCAAATTATCTTCATGTGCAACTAATGCAAATATCATATCTTTATTTTTAACTAAAAACATAAGTTAAAAGTATATTTTTTTATACTTTTTTATTATTGATTTGTATAAAACATTATGAAAATAAATTTTATTTTCAACATCAATATTACGTTGAACAATTTAATTAGATGGTTGACAAAACTTATATAACACTTTTATTTTTCTCCTAAAAAAGTGCAATAAATAAATTTTTAGAAAACTCCTTTAACTAATGCATAGAATGTCCTTATTTCAGAAAATCAAACTCCACACCCTCAATTATGAATTTGGTGAAAGTTTGTGTACTTATTTTAGAGTTTTGCCTTACCACGACCACAAAAAGTTCAACTTAGAACTCTTAACAATTTCCGAATACATGTTTACAAACAATGAAGTATCTAACAGGAAATATTACAAACAAATTGTGGGCATGAAGAATTGAACCATAGGAAATTGCAGCACATCAGAAAACAAGAAAAACATGGTAAAGATGAAAAAAACCCACAAATTGAAGACATGAATAAGAAATAAATCAACATAATTTTTCATCAAAAAAAGCTGTCTTGTTTACATAGCTGCAGTTTTTTCGTCTATGTTCCTTTGATTTCTCCAGAACCAAACAAAAAACAGATGCAAGAACATGGGAAATCACATTCATAACCCAAAAAGATACGATGATAAACAAACGAAAAAAAAAAAAAAACTTTTATATGTATGCATTAATGATTCTGTATAATAATTTCAATAAAGAGATGAACAAAATTCAGTGAAGAAGAATTGAAACTGAGAGAGAGAGAGACAGTAGCGTTTGGCTTTGACTCAGACATGGAGAGGATTGAGATAGAAGATCAGATGATGATTTCGGGCTCGAGTGTGAATTGGGTTTTTTTCTTTTCCTTTTTCTTTTTTGGATTCTCAGGTTGCGTTTCGTAGATTTGAGATTTCTGTATGAATGGTAATTAAAATTTTTTTAATGATAAAAAACCACTCCAAGTAAGCATGCGAGAGCATGTTCAAAAAAAAAAAAAAAGAAGTAAGCATGGGAGAGATGATAAAGTTGAGGTATTATTGTAAACTTATAATAAATATTATAATTGATTCTTTTAACTTAATCCTAATATCCACACGTGATATTCTAATTCTTGTTCTGCACTTTTTGATTATGTTGCTGGGTTTGTTTAAGGAAATGGGTTGAAGAGACAATAGGAGAAGGATATGATTCTAAACTAATTCTTTAGTTTTGTTCAATGATTTGAGGGTTTTGCCCTATTAACATTTTGCTTTCCTTTATGTCATAATCCTTGCAAAAGCTAACCCACAAAGAGTTATATATTGAATTGAAATGAATTTAATCGATAAAGGTTACACCTCTACCTTTTTGAGATTTTGTCTCTGTGGGTTTCATCTGTAACTATGATAAAATGAGATCGGATATTTTTGAGAAAATGATCACTTCCTCAAGGTGTGCAAGAGGTTGCAGTTTACTCAAGTGTACAGCGTGTAATTACAAGGTTTGAAAATAAATGAATGTTAAAAGAAAAATGTAAAAATAGCTGTTGGCCTAAAATCACTCAATATAATCAGGAGCCATTGGTCCCATAATTCCTCAAGATCCTAATTTGGTGCTTGAATGCTTGATTGAGGCTTTGCTGAAAATTCAACTGATTTGGTCTTGCTGTCATTTAGGAAATTAGTTTGTCTTGCTTGAATCATGGTCATCCTTCTTGTGATTTTGAAAATCCATTGCTTTGTTTGTATCATGATCATCCCTTGAATTATGGATGATTGCTTTTACATCATCTTCTCTATATTGTTTTTTGATTCTAATTCTTGATTGTGTTGAACAGGTAGAAGCTTGCCTCTGAGGAGTTGAGGTTTATTTTTGATAGAAGGCATATATATATGGGATTGTTAGTTTCTTCATTGCTATCACCTTGGGAACAAATCTTGCGCAGGCTTTATGGGGAGGTGACCTTGAGAGTGGACAGCTTCATGAGAACAGATTCAGGAAAAATGACAAATTCAATAGGGTCAGATAAGAAAATTGTAGTAAATTTGAAGAACTGCAAACCTGAAATGGGAATGCTTGAGAAAGCTATCTCATTCAAGAATTTGGTTCAGGACAAATCAGACAAAGCTGGTTCAAATACACTGAAGGGGAAAAATATTGGAGTATTGCCTCATAAGCTTGTACCGGCGATTTCTCTTCCAGAGCCAGCATTCTTATTGTCTCCCAGACCCATTAGTGAGCTTTATGCTGCGGCTGTCAAGCTTCAGAAGGTATACAAGAGCTACCGGACTCGAAGAAACCTTGCAGATTGTGCAGTGGTGGTTGAGGAGCTATGGTAATGAACTAGTCCTAGTATTCATCAGCAGTTCCAATAAGTTCCAATTTGTTTCCATTTCCTTTAAAATGGTTTGATTTGGTATCTGATTTGTTGGATTGAATGTTTTCAGGTGGAAGGCATTAGACTCTGCAGCTCTTAAGCAAAGTTCTGTTTCATTCTTTGATGAGGAGAAACAAGAAAGTGCATTTTCAAGGTGGTCAAGGGCCAGAACAAGAGCAGCCAAGGTTATACCAAATCTTTGTACAGCATTTTTCTATTTCAGTCTTCCATGCCTTTGAGAACAATATGAGAACTGATTTTTCCATTTTGTGAAGGTGGGAAAGGGTCTGTCAAAGGATGAGAAGGCTCAAAAACTGGCTCTACGGCACTGGCTTGAAGCTGTAAGTCCTACTAAAACTAACTTTAGTATCTTTGAAATTTGGCACTTGATACTAGTGAGAAGTGAGTATGTACTTAATCTAATCAATCATATTATTTGTAACTTTACATATTAGATTGATCCACGCCACCGGTATGGGCACAACTTACACATGTACTATGATGTTTGGTTTGACAGCGAAAGCACTCAACCTTTCTTCTACTGGTAATTACTTTCTCTAGATCTTTATCATCCTACTTTCTGCATATGGTACTTTGAAAAAATGAACTTTCAAAATAAGACATGCTTCTATTTTATGGTCTTTATTAAGGTTGGATGTTGGTCAAGGCAAAGAAGTGAATCTAGAAAAATGTCCTAGGAACATTCTACAGCGTCAATGCATCAAGTATCTTGGACCGGTAAGTTTTACAACAATTGATGATGTTTGTCATATATCATAAATTTAATCCCGAGTCCATGTAATATAGACGTGTTTTGAAATCTGACATTATTTGCTATTCATATTTCAGAAAGAAAGGGAGGAATATGAAGTAATTGTTGAGAAAGGGAGGCTTATTTACGGACAAAGTGGTGTGCCTGTGGAGACGGTGGAGGGTTTCAAATGGATATTTGTTTTGAGCACAACTAGGGCCTTATATGTGGGGCAAAAGAAGAAAGGCTTGTTTCAACACTCTAGCTTTCTAGCCGGCGGTGCTACCACCGCAGCGGGCAGATTAGTAGCCCATGGCGGAGTCCTTGAGGTGCCAACATTAACCCTTGCATCCATCCATACACGAATTAAATAACACAACATTAGGGTATGCATTTGTTAATGACTTGGGTATGTCATTGCTCCACAGGCTATATGGCCGTACAGTGGTCATTATCTCCCAACCGAAGAGAATTTCAAGGAATTCATCAGCTTCCTCAAAGAAAATCATGTAGATCTCCGCAATGTCAAGGTAAATTTTCATTGGTACATTGAAGTTTCGAATTCTAATGTCTCGATATCTATAGCAAATGCAACATAGCATCCCTTATGTCTAATTTTTTTTCCTCTGTAGAAGTATGCAGTCGATGATGACTTCCCTTCAGTCAAGGTGAAGGATGAAGGACCCATGTCGAAGGCAATGGATGGTTGTGATGAAGGTAAGAAATTAGATCAAACGGATGTAAGTGGCATAATCAAGGGGGCTACAACTTCAAAGGGCGATCAAGATGAGAAGGACAAGATCAACGGTGCAAAAGAACCTCTGTATAACTTGGGGAAGAGATTGTCATGCAAGTGGACGACAGGAACTGGACCACGTATTGGGTGTGTGAGGGACTATCCTCCGGAGCTGCAGTCGAGAGCACTGGAACAAGTGAACCTATCACCCCGTGTTGCTCGTGTGGTGGCTAATTACGGCCCGATTCCTTCCCCACGGCCCAGCCCGAATGTCCATCTATCTCCAAGGCTTTCATACATGGGCCTGCCCAGTCCACGGAGTTCTAGTTCTAAATTAAATAGTACTGTATGGCCTTAACATTATTGCGCGTCTAACCACAACAGTAAATTTTTTTTTTTATTTTGATTGTTTCGTGAGATAACTTTTTTTATTTTTTATTTTATTTTACTCGTATATTATATGATTTTAATTAAAAAAATTTATTTTAATCAAAAACTTATCATTAAATTATTTAAATAATAAACAATAGTAAGATTTAGTTATGCATATGCCATTACTGTGTTTTTTGTACTCGGTGCTTGTTCGGCAAAGCTACTGCTGATTGCACAATAGCAACATCCCAAGTGGGGCAAAGGTTATGGTGAAGGATTAAAATGTTAAGATTATTAAAAATTATAAAATATATTTTAAAAAATATTGCTTATATTTAATTTAATGATAAAAATGAATAATAATTTTAATTAAAAATTAATAATTATTGTTTAATACATTAAAATTAATTTTTTAATATTATTTAAAAAATTAAAATTAATAAATAATACTTGCACGCCCCCAAGTAAGGCAAGTGGGCAACTATCAATTCGGGGGGATCTCTCCTGATTCTTCTTTCGAGGCCACCGCACCAAGAACTGGAAGAAAGCAAAAGGAACACAAAGCAGTGAATACTCAAATCAGTAAACAGAACCCAGAAGTGTAATAAAAGAAATAAAGTTGCATTGTCTTGTTAAACAACATGATAAGCACATTTTTAGGAAGTGAGACATTCCTAATATCGAATCATTGTCTTATTTAAAAGATAACAGTTTTCCTATTCTGTTTTGTAACGTACAAAAAATATATAT